AATCATCCCATACATCATATCCAAACCCATCATTCATCTCAGGAAGCCCAGAAACAGTGCTTCAATCTGACAGGTACTAAGGACGTTATAAACAATCCTATTAAGATTGCTAAAGCCTACTAATTCTATAGCGCTAGCAACAGGTTAGTACCTTTCTAAGTAGATTATAGTGGTATTTTACCTAAATTAGTAGTAGGTAAAGTTTTTGCAATATGTAACATACTCTAGTTGCATCTCTAATATCTAACACCCCACTATGCTTAGTGTCTTTAAGATACACCCTAAGTCCTCTTCTTTGCTCTATAAGTAACAACTTTAAACAGCTATTAATAGCTGCAGTAGGCTTGCTAATAATGTAAACATTAACCTTCCCTTTCTATCCTAACACGTTTTTAATAATTGTTTAGTACTAGTAAGAAACATTTTCTAGCTATTCTGCTAGAAGTCTAATGTAAATGCGGAAGTACTGTATGTCTAGGTTAGCTGTTTTAGATGAGTTAAAGATTGTATAAAACAGCTATTTAACAAATCTCTAATAGACTGCCTTTATTCTAATCTTCTTCTCCTTTATCTGCTGTACTTAGAAGTGTTTACTTACTAGATTTATAGCAAGTTTTATGTTATTAAAAACAAACACTTCGCCTTCCTTTTTGCACACCACGTCTGTATCTAGCCTAAACTCTAAGTTCTATTCTTTGTCTTCTCCTTTTCTAGCCACAACGCGAGTCTGTATTTGGCTACTACGCGCCGCAGCTGCTCCATTCCAGAAATTGATATCTTCCAGTTCGCCGTGGCCAAGCACCCTAGATGCTGTAGTGGTGTAGTTTCTAATGTTGGCCAGCACAATCCTAAGGTTCTGGCTCTGTCCCTTAGCTGCGAACCTTGCTCTTGGGCGTGGGACAGTAAAGACTGTTGCTGGATTAGAGCTAATTAGCAATAAATTATGCGCGGCCTTAATGCGTTCTAACTTTCTCACACTCTTCGCGCTTCCTGCTGCATCCTGTGAAAAGCTTAAGCTGTTCATGCCGAGGAATCCATAAGCGCCAGCTTCATTCGCGGTTGCTGTGTTCGCCTAGTTTAATGCTATAAGGTTACTCTCCTGTTTGTTGCTGGTCTTAGCCTTAGAAGTGGCTTGCGTTTGTTGCTTTGTTAGCACCTCCACCTCTTCTCTAATTTGTAATTTTTGTGGTCTGCCTTTTGCGTCCTTTAGCTTGTCTACAGCCCCTTTACTAGCTTCTAGGCAAGTTAATCTGCCTCTTAGTTATGTTAGCTTAGCCACACCTTGTGCTGCATAGCCCTAGCTAACTTTCTTTGTAGCGCTTAGAGCCTTTTAGCTAGTTACGCGTTTCCTTTTAGCTCTTGTCTTAGCTATTGTGATTATAGCAGGCATAAAGGGAAGAGCTTAACTTAAGACAGCAGCGTTGGAAGATGGGATTTAGTTGCTTGTCTAGGTAGTTAGGGGACTTATAACACAGCGTTTTAGAGGCATTTCTGTGCTGACAACAGAGAAAGCGATAGGAAATTGTAGCAGCAGAAGTTAGACGCGAAGGTGTATAAATATTGTTGTAGGCGACAGAGTACTAATGACAAGAGGCTAAGATAACAGAGTTAAGATAACGTTAAAAGTGGCTAAAGCTGTTTTAATAAATAAGCATTACGCCTGCCCACAGCCTTCTGCTAGGATATCTAAGGCATGCTTAATAGCACACAACTAACTAGTTAATTATAACATGTTAGCAAATAATAAGTGATAATATTTAAACACTACCTATTCATGTGTGAGGCTGCTGGCAAAGCCACTTGGCACTGCAGGAAGCAGTTTAACCATGAACTCCCACTCAGGGATCTCCATCACCGCCTACAGTTGCTGCGTAATGTGGAGGCTTATCGGTCGGCTGTTGAGCTACCGTATTGTCAGTACTCATTCAGCCAGGGCGTTGTGGCATAAAAAGACAGTTGTCTGATATCCACTTGATGCACCGAACAATTCTATGTCCCCTCCATGAACCAGCCGATCATTGACGCTGTTCCCGCATTTTGAATACCTACAGAATTATCCTCGCCGCGAAGAAGCATCCGAGAAGGAGAGGTTCGTACTCTCAGCTAGAGTTGTACTATCCGCCACTCTTGCATGAGCTGAGGAGGGGACATATGGCAAACGACTCGACAAGGGAGCGAGATCTAAACAAGGTGGAATGAGTGTATTGTAAGGTCTGAGGAGCTCGATAGAGCTCTGAGCTGACTATATACTGTACGAGATAGGAGCTATGCCTAATGAGTGAATAGTGCAGTACATGGGTATGATATCGCGTGAGACACGTGCAACACACCCCCCTAGCTTTAACAAAGTAAATACTAAAGCAAAGCTGTACAAAAGAAATAATAGACTACAGGTGTACAGTAGTGCACTTAAAAGTGTAAAACAGTAAAAAAAAAAGTTAGTAGGCTTAAGCTTTAAAGCTAATGTTAGTAAAGTAAGCCTTTAGAGCGTTACTTAGGTAAATAAGGCCTAGTTATTTAATAAATACTTAATGCTTTTATTAAAGTAAAAACTTTATAAAGCTATTAGCTAGCATGTTTGTAGTAGGGATCTAGCGTATACAAATTCTTCTTTCCTGTACCTCTTAGCAAAGCTAGTAGTTGTGAATGTTAACATGCTTAAGCTTAGTATTAAGCTTAAAGTCTTTTACTATAGCTTATATAGTTTATTAATTATTACATAGTAAAGTAAGCTTTTTTTTAGTGTTAAAGTTTATATTAGTAAAAAATTACTTCTACTACTCTAAGTAGCTAGTAGTGTAAGAGAGAGCTAAAAGCTCTACTTTAGTTATTAATTTAGTAACTAAGCGCTGTAAGAAGGCCTTCTAATTAACAGCTACGCTAAATAGTGTAAATAGCATGCTGTTAGAGCTACAGTAACTAGTTTTATTATTACTATAAGTAGCATCTAATGCGCTGTAAAATACAAGTCTTTAAAATAAATAAGTAGAGGTCTTTAAGTACTAAAGTGTATAGTCTTTAGTGCTGTAAAGGTACTTAATAACATACTAAGTAGCCTTTTAGTGTTTATCTAATAAGTTAACTAGGTATTTAGAGAGCTTTAAATGTGCTTTAGTAATATTAGGTCTAATAGTAGTAGCAGCATAGCTAATAGAGCTAACGCGCTGCTAGTATGCTATAATCCTTTATATATTTATTTTAGTTATCTAATTAAGCTACAAAAGTAGTGCTAATGCATTTAGTAAAGTAATTAGCTAAGAACATATGTAACTAGTATTAAAATTAAAGTAAGTAGTAAGCTACTTAATGTATAACTCTTAGCTAAGCTATATAGTGTAGTTAACTTTGTTATAGTTAATTTAGATGCTAAGGAACTAGTTTAGTTCTTTTATAGCTTAGATCTTATAACTCTTTATAAGCTTAATTTTAAATTAGTCTAAGTACTTTTTATACTCTAGTAGGCAGAGGATAATAATGTTATTAATATAAAAGTAAACTAAAAGCTTCTTATTAGTAAAAAAATAATTAACTTTAAAAACTTAAAAAAAGCTAAGCTTCTTAAGTAACTTAGTAAGCTTTAGATACTAGAGCCTAAGTGCGTTTTTAAGCCTATATAAAGCTTAAAGGAGTTAAAGAAGTTACTAAGAGCAACAGTAGCCTAGTAGTAGTTTGTAATATGCTAGGGTTAAAAGCTAAGTGTTAATAAACGCATTAATAGCGTTATATTATTACATAAGTAGGCTAAATAAGGCTATAATAGCAACAAGCGCCCTAAAGACACATGCTGCTAAAGTAGTAGCATATGTTTTAGCTATAGTAACCTAGAGGTTACTTTATACATAAAGACAAGCTTTAAATTTAGTTAAAAATCTTTTAGTGTTAAATTTATACTTATATACTTATTTTAAGAGTATTACTTAAGCATCTGCAGCCTCTGTAATAGAGACTAGCTTAAATGCCTTTTTTTAATAGAGGTCTGTAAATTTAATCTTTATAGCATGCTTTTAGCTGTCTAAGAATTAGTAGTAGTATGCCTTATAGTAAGTTTTAAGCATAGAAGGTAGATTATTTTAATAAAAAGCTTTAAAAGTAATAGTAGTAGGTTTTATAAAGTCTTTTATAAAGCTTAATATAAAGGCGTAGTACTAGCTAGACATTTTAGTAGTAGTTTGCATAAAGGTAGCAGCATATTATTAACGTCTTATTCTGCTTTCTCTCTCTAGAATGTTTAATTTATTAATGTTAGCTGTGCTTTTAGTAGGGCCTAGTTTAGTAAATTTCTTAAGCTATATGTATAAAATAAAGTTAGCCTCTTTAAAAATTTTCTAAGGCTTATAATTAATTAAAGCTATATGCTAAGTAGTTATAGCTTACTTAATATAATTATTATTAGTTTTAAAGTTTATAGCTGTGTTGCCTATTTATAGACAAACTTTAATAACTAATAGTGTTTTATTATTAGAGCTATTATCTAGCATGTTGCTAAGGTTATTTTAGAAGACTAAGTTAATATTAGTTTTTTTTTTAAGTTAACCTCTAGAATAGTTTCTAAGGTTATTTTAGAAAAAAGTAGATAATAAAGGGAGCCTAGCTAGCGCTTCTCTTGCAGCTAATTACTAAGTCTGTTATTACACTCTTTAAGCTATAAAAGCTTTTTTATAAAGTTAATGTAATCTTTATTATTTAAGGTATTATCTAGAGTAAGAAGAGTTTTTATAATAATATTATCTTTAACTACTTATTATAGTAGCTTGTATAATGCGTAGTTATTTAGTTTATAAAAGAAAGTGTTGTTAAACATAACATTATGTACCTAGTAGACATAGTTATTTATTAGATTTTATATTTAATAGATGTTTTAGAAGTTATACTTACATAAATATTTAATAAAAGCTTATAGTGTAAGCTTGTTTAACTTTATAGTCCTTTTAATAAGAACATATGCCTTAACACTAATTTAGTAAAGGTAAGAGTAGTCTAGTTTTTTACTATATAGCATTTTAAATAGTGTCTTTTAATTAAGTAATTAAATAAGTGTATAGTTAAGTATGTAACTTATAAGACTAAATATAGTGTTTTTAAGAGACTTTAAAAATTTACTAATGTGTGTAAAACTTTAAGCTTAAATAATAAAAGTCTAGCCTAAGTGTTTAGCTGCTCTATTAGCTTCTAGCATATACAGTAGCGCTAGTTTTAGAGTAATGCCCTGTTTATTACAAAATTTCTGTAGAGTCTCTTCTATTTATTTAAATACAGCTTTATTATTACTTTAAAGTAGTGTTATTAAGATGTTAAATTAAATTAATGCTAGTTTATAGACCTTTTATATAATTAAAAAAATTACTGCCTTCTTTTTGTAACGATTCTACGAATCGTTCCATCTCGGGTCGCTCGGATCCTATCCGAAGGGTCCCCGTATCGGCCCCGACCATAACTCGACCCAGTCCCCCGCAGTTACCCCTATTCCTGCATGTATTTAGTCGCACCTTGCCCCCGTAGCTAGCTCAGTAGTTTTCTAATATCCTACGTACAAGGCCTATAGGTGTCATTAGTATTCCCAGGTCTCTGAGTCCCCACGCACTCCCATATGCCTCTGAGTGGATTTATACCGCATTTAGACCCATTGTCTTGCCTATGCTGTTACATTATATTAGAAAACTTGCTTTTGCTAGTAACAGCCTTATTAATAATATTGCATTAATTGTTTATTTAACTATGTCTAACTCTAAGAAGCGTCTAATTTAGTTTAGGTTACTGTTCTTACACACTGTTACATTAAATTATTTAGTTAGTATAGATAGAATTCTAGAGACCTTCTGTTAACTAAAGCCTTTAGGTTTAGAACTTCCTATCCCCTGTAATTAGAATTGCCTTTAGAAAAGTTATAAAGAGTGCGCTAAGGTAGAAACTTAGAGACTACTAATAACTTATTAGAATTAGGGACAACTACTAATGCCTAACCTTTAACTACTATTAGATCTTATTGTAAAGACTGCAACCTGTTCTAGCTGCAGCTAAGGCAAGATGCCTGCCTTTAAAACTAAACTACTACTAACCTTAACAGCTAAACCCTTTTTTATAGGACTTAAAGCTAAAAACCTACTAGATTTAGAGTTAAACCTTAGTAGTATAGCCTTTAAGGACTAAGTTGCTTAATTAAGGGTATAAATTAAACAGCTAACTAGATTAAAAACTGTTAGTCCTAATTATCCCCTACTAACTACTAAATTACTTATAATAATGCCTTAAATTACCTCTACTACTCTAATAGTAAGAGACTTTTTAGGCACCTCTAAGCTCCCTTAAAGCTACCTTACTAAACGCACGCCTAAGATTAAGAACTTTATAGATAGTAAAGAACCTATGTTTAAATAATAGCAAGCCTCTATTACAGACAGACTTAACATTAATGTGGATTACTATTAGAGTAAGCGTGCACGCATGGCGTTAGTATGGGGACACACTGCTAGTATCGCAAAGGAATACCTAGAGCCTAGATACCTAGCTAAATTAGATTACTTTTAGTTTAGGAACATAGAAGAAATAATTAAGCTCTTATAAACTTACTTTATTACTAGTAATAAAGAGATAAAGGTGTAACAGGCGTTTTAAACTCTAAGAATAGGCAAAGGAGAAGCATTTTCTGCCTTTAAAGCTTACTTTATTAGTGCTGCTGTTAAAGAGTCTGTATTAAAGGCAGAATAGTTTTTCTACTTATAGAAAAAGATACTACTTAGCCTAAAAGTACTAAACTTAGGTTTTAAGCACACTTAAAAGGGCTTCTTTAAGACTATAGTAGCCTACCTAACAGCCTATAACATAGAAAGAAGGAATACCTCTGCTATTTTAGAGTAAACTGTTAATCTTACCTAACAGTCTACTATTAGACCTAGTACAGATTAGTCTTAGAAGGTTTCTAGTGATACATCTAAGGCAGTATACTATCCTAGTGCACCTTAACCTGCACCTCTGTTGGTACCCTAGTCTACGTTAGTTACCTATAGACAATCTAGCTAGACACTTGCTCTAGAAAGACAGATAACTTCTAGTAACTATTATAATTATAGAAAACTAGGACATTTTACTAGTAACTGCCCTATCCTTAGAGTATAAAAAATAGAGGTAGAGTAGTAAGATTTTAAAAAAGAATTTGTAGACATAAATAATTTTAATCTAGATACTTCTTAGATAGGAAACAGTAACACCTAGGGAAACTCTTTGTTTTAGGCTTAAGTAAGTATAATCTATTAAACATTAATTTGTTGCACTTGTTTAGAGGAAAACACTTCTAAGTCCCTACTATTTTATATTTAA